CACAGAACAAGTAACTTCACAAAGGCTCAGGAAATTCACAAGCCAGTCACAGGCAGGAAGAGGCAGTGGTAGGGCACAGACATCTTTCTGTTGCAGTTTCTGCTTCAGTCACTGCCGCCTGCTCTTGCTTTAGTCAAGATTTAGGAACCGATTTGACAAAAGGATATGATCATATTTTAATTGAAGTACAGTTGACAGCTGACCTGCTTCTCACACCCACACAACCTTAAGATAGCTTGTAATAAAATGCTTAACTCAAAAGCAATACTTGACTTAAACAAATATTAAGTATTATTATGTAGAAATTTAACTTCCTAGTTTTTAAAAATGGGGAGTGAATTGCTGAATTCATTACAACTGTGTTATGTTACTTTCTGATTACAATAAAAGTATCCAATAAACTTTTCACACACATACACACAAATTGAACTCATGGAAGCCAAGGTGAGCAGATGCTGGGAAGAATGTCAGGAGGAAGGGAGGATGGAGAAAGGGTGATCGAAAGTGTTGAATTTTCTATTTCTGCACTGCTATGAGTATCTCAACCAAGATGCAGATGTTCCCAGAATTCCAGGAGCCATGCTTAATTCTTTTCTTGTCTGTTTCCAGTCTCCAAAAGGAGTCGCTCTTCTGACATCTGTCACCATGTTACTTAGAACTATCATTGGTCTTAAGCTTCACATAATGGATTAATAAAGGATGTAACTTCTTATATCTGGATTCTTTTAGTGCTGGTATCTGTGAAATCACCCATGGGGAAAAAATGTAAGTTTGAAAATGCTTTAATTAAAAACCTAACATAACTTGATTTTGAAATATTAGTTTACACATTTTATATTAACATTTTAATTTATGCACACAATGTTGCTACAGATCACAATCTTGTAAGTTAGGCTTGAATAAAATACTGTCTAAACAACTAGGGTACTCTTTTTTATTTTATTTTATTTATTTATTGGCCAGTCCTGGGGCTTGAACTCAAGGCCTGGGCATTGTCCTGAGCTATTGCTCAAGGCTAGCACCCTATCACCTGAGCCACAGCACCCCTTTCAGCTTTTCTGTTTATGTCGTAGTACGGAACCGAACCTAGAGCTTCATACAAGTTAGGTAAGCACTCTACCACTAAGCCACATTCCCAGTCCCTTGTTTAATTTTTTGAGACAGTCTCCATATGTTGACTAATTAACATGGGACTCCTGGCTCAACCAAGTCCCTCGCATTAGTCTCTTTTTTAAAAAAAAAAATTATTTTTTTGTCAGTCATGGGGCTTGAACTCTGGGCTTGGGCACTGTCCCTGCACTCTTCAGCTCAAAGCCAGTGCACTACCGCTTGAGTCACAGCACCACTTCCGGTTTTCTAGTGGTTTTATTGGAGATAAGAGTCTCACGGACTTTCCTGCCCACACTGGCTTTGAACCTCGATCCTCAGATCTCAGCCTCCTGAGTAGCTAGGATGACAGGCGTGAGCCACCGGCACCTGGCTCACTTTAGTCTCTTTAGACAGACATGAGCTACACCAGCTGTTGTTTTTGTTTGTATTTTCATAATCTATACTTATTTAAAAACTTCACTGGAGCTAGGTGTCAGTGGCTCATTTATAATTCTAGATACTCAGGAGGTGGAGATCTGAAGATCCTGATTCAAAGCAGCACAGACAAATCCAAGGTAAGACTTATGTCTAATAAATGAGCAGAACACTGGAAGTGGAGGTGTGGCTCCAATGGTAGAGCACCAGCCTTGACCAAAAAAGGTAAGAATTAGTGTGAGGTCCTGAGTTCAAGCTCCAGTACTGGCAGAAAAATAAGTAAGAGCTCATCAGTACCAACAAAATGGTAGTGCGAATTATTTCCTGTGTAGGGAAATAGGATAATTACTTTTCTGACAAGTTTTAAGATAATGTAGTACATAGTTCATTTTCTGTTGCTCTAACACCTGAGGGCCAGGATGTAGACTGCTTGTGTAATATGCACCAGGTCCTGCATTCCATTCACACCACCACACAAAAGGGCGATGAGGTAGTTTTTCGAAACGGTAAGTTTATGAGGCTTATGGTTCTGGGAATAACACTAGCACCAGGATTTCTGGTGAGGGCAGAAAACCTAACAGCTGGAGGCAGGAGATCAAGGAGGAAAGGCCCACAGGTTGATGCATGCAAAAGTTGGAGGTTACAGAGGGAACCAGACATGTTATAGCCACTGCATCCCCAGAGAAACAGGTATCATGAGAAAGACATGAATCCTTCTTAAATGCCCACTTCCCCAAAAGACTCCCTTGGCAAACACATCTCAATATGAGACGTGGTGAGTACAAGATCCAAACCATAGTGAGTAAGAAGGCAAGATGCGACCTTCTCTGTAAATTGGTAACACCTTTGTGAAAGTCTGGTTCTGTAAAAGTCTTTAAGTATGAAGTCGAGAAGACACAACTTTTCCTCGTATGTGTAATGGCTGACAGACTGTGGGACAGAACTGTAGCACAGAGCTGAGTAAATAGTCTGTATTTCTTTAAAGCCATAGGTGAGCCAACATGGTACAAAGTGGTCCTGCAACATTCAGTTGCTAAAGATGAACAAAATGAGCAATGACATTCTACACCATGATTATAGGAAGTAATGTTTTAAAAGAATAAGAGCAATAATTCAGTACAGAAGTATTACAAGGCACAGAAAAATATTTTTCTGTTTCCCTTTAGAAAAACCTTTGACATGTGATAGTGTAACAACACAGCACAGTAGTTACCTAGAATTGTCGCTTACTAGCTGTATGACTTGGTCTAATTAATCTTTCTATGCTTTGATTCTCATGAGACTGATATAGGATTAAATGTCCTTACATTAATGTATGCAAAATGCTTGAGAGTATTACATTTGATAGCATCTTTGTTACTGTGTAGTGATTTAGCTTTTCTGAATTCTGCAGGATGAAGGCACACAACCAAACGGGTAACTCTTCAAGGCCAATTTATCATTGTGAATGTATTTATTATCTTGTGGCCACAGCACCTCTAAAGTCCTATAGGAACAGAGATTACCAATGTGCTGAGATCTTCAGCTGAAATGAATCTGGCTGCAATAACAGGACTGCTGATGGGCAGCAGTGGCTTATATAACTAGATATTTATTTATATAATGAGAACCGGACCTTTCTAGGGTTCACCGAGTTAAGGCTTTGGATTGCTGTCTCTGAAGACTATTTAAATTTTCCATTTTGCCACTAAGTCCTAGACATGCATGTTTTCTCAGAACCGTATCAGGCAGGAAGAGCCTGGGGGGAGGGGGGGGGAAGCTTTCTTTTTTGTTGGTGAGTTAATTCTTTCCCAGAATCTCCCAGTGATCCCCTCATATGGCTGGCTACCACTAGTTGTAAAAAAGGCTGAGAAGGGCAAAAATGTGACAGAGGTCCTGCGTTCTGATAGATAAAAAGAGGTGGGGGGAGGGGAGGGGGGAGGCGTAAAAATAGCTTTTTTTTTTTTTTTTTTTTTTTGCAACATTCAGCTGATACTTTGTTGTAACTGATGACTAGAATCACAGAGGTCTTGAAGGAAGAAATTCTGGGCTGTACTCCAGAGCAAAATGAATCAGAATAGTCCAGAAGTAAGAATTTTCTTAAAAGCACATCACAAGAATGATAGGATCAGAGTTTAGAAATTCTGGTCTGCCATATTTCAGAATAACTGATGCAGTCTCGACCATCTGCTGTCAAAGCAGAGCAAGCTAATTCCCTACGTTAAATTAAGCCCATTACAATAACACAATCCTTCATTTCTCCATATTGAGCCCTAGTAACAGTTAGTTCTCAGATTAGAAAGAATGATTCCTCAAGAAATATACAGGAACTAAATAAAGCAACGCCTGCTTACAAAATAAAGCAATTTTTCTTAGTACTAAAGAATGAAATGAGGAAAATAGGGAAAACTTAAGTGAAATTTAGTCTCAGTGGGTTGAGACATTTTGCAAACCTGTCTGAGATACACTGCCAATAAAAGATGAAGGTCTGAAGGCAAAGATGCTGGCTATGAATTCGACAACTGTACATCTCAAATACAGACCACGTCTGTACATCTGAAGCCGCAGGTAGCTGCAGATGGGGACCAGTGGCTCCCAGCTGCATTCTTAGGGTTGTCTCCTGCACCCACTCCCTTCACAGCATCCAGTCAGAATGGCACGGTTGGGGTGCAGGTTTGCAGACTGAGCCCAGGCAAGGCTCCTCTTATATTCAGGAGGGTTGAGTGGTAGTAACTCCGGTTTTTCCTAGTGGTTTTGTTTGCTAAGGACGGGCCTGAGTACTGGTTAGGGAAGAGCTAAGCTATGGCATGACCAATGAGAAGCCAGAGTTCAGAGTGAGCCAGGACCCAGTCCTCAGCTCTGATCATCAGGTCCCTGTTGAGGAGGCTTGAGTCTTTACAGTGGAAGGTGAGTGTCCTGCATGGGGAATTCAGAACAGCGATTTCCTCCTGACTGAAGAGGCGCTGGCTCCCGGTGGTTGGAATCAATCCTGAACTACATTTTTGTTTCAGTTACTTTTACAAAAGAAAGGATTATACGTATGTGTATGTGTGTGAGAGAGAGGACTGAGCAAAAACCCTTCTAGGGTTTCAAGCGTCAGTTGAAATATTGCACATGTGGGCATCAGAAGACAAGCCATTCCTTATACCAATATTGGAAAGGCCTTGGATCTCTGAGGACAGCAGTGCTTCCTGTTTCTACTTAAACCCCTCCTACCTTGTTCCGTGGCAAAGAAATGCTTCTTGATCCTGTGTAAGTGTTTTGCTGTGTGTCTGGTTTCTGAGTCATGTTCCAGCTGCTTTGCTCGGCAACATGGACCTGTACTCACTTGGAGCATGACTACTAAATCTTTTCCAGATTAGTAAAGGAGTGATGTGCAATAAAGAAAGAATGAAATGCTATTGATACACATCAGTAGGCCATGCTCTGTTACAGTGCGCTCAGGGTAATCGGAGGAATTACAGTACATTCACAAGGGAAAGAATATATGCTAGATCTAATAATAATTTTGGTTCTTTAATCATAAAAGTGAAACTTACATACAAAGTACAGACAATGGATATGTAAAAGTAAGTTTGTATACAAATACAGAAATCGCGTAAGTTAATGGGAGAGAAATGAAGACTAGAGGCTTAAATACTGAGATCTCTGCATTATGAACATGATTCCTCTCTATTTTTGTCTCCAATTTTCTTAGTGTCACAAGATTTTATATGTTTTATAATGGCAGAATTCTTGAATACTTTTTAAAAATTTAATACTAGCTAGCATTTTTTGATGGGTCTGAAATGTTGTTTACTTTTACATGCTCAAATATTTTAATGAAAACTGACACTAAGCTCTTAAATATTTTCAGTATGTGTTTCTAAAAATAACACTATTAAAAACAGCAAAAGTTATGTCTTAGTATTATGTATTACCAAAGCCAAATAGTAAAATGGAAAGAAGACAAAGTTAATTAATAGTTATAGAAATATAAATTCATAAGGCAAGGAAATACTGCTGTTTACATATTAAATTAATGTAATTTTAAAATTCTATGTATTAGAAAGGATACAGAACACTGTAACTCTTTATGTTGCTATAGAAAGTGTTAATAGTTCCTTTGGGAAAAAAATTATATATTATATAGTAAGAGTGAAGATGAATATATACCTGATTCCCTCTACTCCTGGTAGTGTACATTCCTACAGAAATGCATATATGTACCAAAAAACTCACATAAACTTGCTCTTACCAATATTGTTTGAAACAGGAAAAAATCAAAATTCAAATGTAGCAGCATTGGACTGTATTATCAAAGTATCTATGAAAATACAGAGGACAACATACAATAATGTAAAATTGAATGAATTTCAGCTTCTCTGGCATGGATCACTTTCAAATTTTATAACAATGAAAAAAAAAGAAAAGATACAAAATAACATGCACAGTTTAAATGTTTATTTAAAATTTAAAATTTAGAACCCTAGCTTGACTTCTTTTCAAATGGTTGATAGAAAGAAAACAAATTAAAATGCCAACAACTGGGATCCAAGCAAAGAGAATCCAAAGGTTCACTGTACAGTTTTGATACTTTTCTGTAGTTCTCAGGTTTTCCAAAACAAAGACAAGAAAGAATAATCAGAGAAAACTATCTGATATTGTTGAGAAGTACAAATAAGGGTAGTAAGATGATACAGAAAATAATCATCAAAATTCAGGATGATGTCGCCTCTGAGAAGAAGGGTGAGCTTGTGGGAAGGAAGAGACTTGTAGGGAAATTTCTGATACTGGAAGCTTCTGACTGGTGTGTGTGTGTGTGTGTGTGTGTGTGTGTGTGCGTGTGTGTGTGTGCGTGCACGCGAGCGTGTGCATGTATACACAAATGTATATAAATATATTCATTTTCAGGGTTCTTGATTTTTCTGAGTGGATATTTCACAAGAGGCAAAAGGTAAAACTGCAGAGAGGAATACAGAGATACATTCAAAGATCAGTTGTTAGATATTTGCTAAACATTATTAAAATTATTTTTTGCTTTGTAATAAGTAAGTTTACATAAGGGAGAGGTTTCTCTATAAAAAAATCACACTAATATGAGATTGACCTATCAAAAGGCACTTACCATGATTAATTGTAAAACTAGCTATCAAATGTCATCTTATTTTCTAAAACAGTTCTGCTATAAACAATTCTGAATCATTTGGCTTGATATTAGATAGTACATAATTCTAAGTAATATGCACTTATATGCATCCAACATTCATTTTGGCCAACATTTTAGTATTTACTGCAAGAAAACTCTGGATGACAGTTTCTTGATTATTCAAACATTATATACACAATTGATATCATTGATATATAAATTTTGCCTATTTCTATAGTTTTAGCCCTCTTTTCTCATTAGGACTTTGAGGTATTTTTGTTGAAACCCTCAAAATTACTAGCGGGTTGGTGGTTACATTAGTCCACGGCATCCAGATCACCTAAGTCTCCAGCAAAATCTGAATCATCATCATTTTCTTCATTTCTTTTGCACCTTCTATGAGAACTTTGATCATTTTCACCATTTTCTGTCTTTCCTGGTTCTTTATTAAACCTAAAGACAGAAGAGAAAGTTTCTGATTACTTCACAGACCTTTATGATTGAACCACCAAAGTAAAGAAGGCCTTTCCCACTGAAAGATCCTTAAAGACTACTGAAGAACTAATCAAGAAATACACAGTCCCTAATGTAGGCTTGAAAATAATTCAAAGGTATTCATGAAGGGGAAATTGTTACATAGTGAGTAATTATTATGAATGTAAAGCTCATAGCTAAATAGTTGATGTTCTTAAAAATAACAAGTGTCACTTTTACCACAGTAGAGTTGAAAAATTATGATTCTTTCCTTGTTATGTAGAAAAATGTCTCCGTAAGTGTAAATACTTTACCTTCAGAGTTACTGAATGGGTCATTAAAAGGAAGGCCATGCACCTTAGAAAGTGTAAAACCCAGATGCAAAAGCAAATACTCACGGAATAACAATGTCTTCTTTCTTTCCACACTTGGCGCAAACTTCCAGCTGACAAGCACAAGGTCTACAAATGATGTGGTAAGAATCCTTCACAGTCTTCTGTAAACATTTAACACTAAAGATGGGAAGGGAAAATCAAATATTGATTTTTACTAATTACTTAAGACTTGATGAAATAAGGTGGTAGAGCTTAAATGTCCATTTGAAAGGCCCAAAAATCAAAACTCCTGGATTTCAATCTCAGATTTAGGTTGGGTATAGTGGTGCACACCTGTAATCTTGACCCTTGAGGGTACTGAAGCAAGAAGATTGACAGTTTGAAGCCAGTCTGGGCTACCTACAAGATTCTGTTTCAAAAACCAAAAATAGGAAAGAAGCTACAACTATTATTAACTGTAACATGACATAAAGAAACATCCTGCATATAAATTCTACTCTAAGATCTCCAATTAGGACAAATAAATTACAATTAAAAATAAAAAGTAAAACAAAATCCCTCTTCGATGTTAAACTTTTAGTGAATACAATTTTAACTAAATCACTCTGTAATAAAAGGGTATGTTAACTTTTGTATACCATAAGAATACACATATAGTAAAGTTCCAATCAAATGATTAGATAATTTTGACAATTTTTTTGGTCTTTAATTTCCAAAAGCTTAAAAATTAGGTTCATCTGAGAACTCAAGGAAATTAGAATATAATCTCATATTTTGAGGCTCTCATGCTTGGGACCATTGGAGTAGACAAATCTTTAAATATTTAAATTGCAAGTTTGGGCAGAACTGTTACTGTTAAAATTTACATATATAATAAGTTTAAAATGGATACTTTGTTTTGGTGTCTAGAGTCAAAAGATAGTAAGGTTTCTCAAGACTCAAACATCTGTACAGCCTGTTGAAATCAGATTTCTGGGCAGTATGGATTAGTTACATAACCAAAACCTTAGGAATGTATCCCAAGAATATATTAAACTCTACAAGAAAATTCTATGATCATAACCTTTTGCAAATTCTCGGCCTATATCAAAATAATACTGTCTTACTACTTTAGAGGAAATTTTCTGTGTTCCCATGCCTGGCTGACACGAAAAGGACAAACTCTGAGAACAGAATGAATTCTACTGCTAAGAGCAATTATGCACTTTCAAATTTAAATTACTTCTGAAAACCAGATTTCCCTAAGGTAGTAGCTCTGAATAAAAAGACGTATCTGACATTACAACAAAGATATACATGCTTTGAAAATGATTTTTTTTCCTTTTATAAGGGTGACATGTTTGTGAAAATATGTACAATTTTTAGATATTTACAAACTTCCACTTTCTCTATTATGAAAGTGGGATCTTGCTGAGTGTGCCTTTAAAAAAAAAACTCAATTAATTCAGGCTTTCAGAGGTTTGAAATCAACAAAAGGTTGGTATATATTTTTTAACTCAGCACAATATTCATCATCCCAAAGAATCTTGATCTTAAGTATGAGAACAGTGGTTATCATTGAATTCAATGAATACACATTTAAGTTGTACTAAAGCCTATAAAGTATTTTAAAATAGCTTTAAGACATCTATATATCTTAAATAGCTCTTAGCACTTTTTCTTATAAAGTTTACATAATTAAGAAACAATATCAAATTCACTTAAATATAAATGTTTCTCAATCTTCCTTTAAAATTGCTATATGTCCTGTACATTGTGCTATGAAATCATCAGAGCTGTTAAGTAATAGTCTGAACTTCTTTTCATTGCTCTATGGAATACAGTTTCCAGAAACAGTGGTTCAAAGAATCTTGGCCTTGCGGTTAGCTAAAAACACAAGCCGTGCTTATTGACGAAGGAGACAATACATATCTTTAAGATAGTGCTGGATTGTTTTTACAATGCAAAACAAAAGGAAAGAACAATTGAATGAAGCTAATAAATGTTTACTGTATAAAGATGAAAATGGGGGACATGAAGTTTTTACTGGATGAGGTTTAGCCCCTGGATAGCAGTATTTTTTGAAACAACATAATGGGAAAGGAACAGTAAATGTCTGGGAAACGGGAGACCATGATTCTACCCTGGGTGTGAAATGTCTCTGTTGTACAGTATTTGAGTTGCAATGTTTATGAAGGTCACTCAGAGCACTGAGACCCATGCACAAGGACAGAGGTGATGAATGACAATGGTCTGAATTGTATTATACTCGTCATCTCTACAAACTCAACAGTTCACAAACAAAAAGTCCGAAGACTTTTTGATGACACCTGTATTAGTAACATAATTTACTATAGAATTGAGCATATTGGAAGATTTATGTAGAGGAGGTAAACTTTCCCCAGTATTCTCTTTAAGAATTTCCCACTGGGACTGATATAAAACGGGTTAGTACTACATTCTCCCTGAAACTGCTTTCTTTCCTGGTTATAGCACCTTAACCTTTAGCATAATTAATCTCCATGTATGGCAGTCTCGTGTGTACCATGACTAGTTGTTTTGGTAAACAGTGACTTGTGCTCCACCCTCTTGACGTACAAATCATAGAAACTCAACACGGATAAAGCATCAGTCACATTTCCTGCAGTGGCTCTAAGTAAACCTATGCTCAAAACAGGAAGCTTCCAAAACCACACTGTAAGATTACATCACATGCTACTCATATAAAATGCTTTTTAAGGAAACAATATCCTCCCTTCCAAATACCCAGGAGTACAAGTAGTTTCTTTGTATCTTTAGATGGAGTATGTGAAAGTGAGTAGAAATACTACCTCCCTCTTATTGTAATAGTAGGTTGGATTAGACTAATTATTTTCCTTCTTTTATTTTTTTTTATTAATGTACCCTAATTGTCCAAAAGAATAGATTTCAGGACATTTTCATGTATGTATAAAATGTACTTTGATCAATTCCTAGAATATTTGCTTTAAAAAGGAGTACAAATTATTCACCTCTGACCAAGAACAGTTTAGAAATAGAATGGAAACTGTTTAGGCTAGGGAATTTTAAATCAAAGGTTGCTGCACCAATGTAAAAAAAAAAAAAGGTAGTCCCTATGTACTGTGACTGATGGATCAGAGTAATCAAAACTCCATTTTAACTTTATTAATATTATTATTTTTGTGTGCTGGTCCTGAGGTTTGAACTCAGGGCCTAAGCTGCCAACTGCCTATGAGATTTTGCGCTGAAGGCTAGAACTCTGTTACGTGAGCTATAGCTCTTCTACCAGCTTTTGTTGGTGATTAATTGGAGATAAGCGTCTACAGATTTTCCTGCCCAGCTGGTTTTGAAATGTGATCCTCAGATCTCAGCCACCAGAATAGCTAGGATTACAGGTGTGAGCCAGCAGCGTCCAGCTCTGCTTTTACCTTTTAAAAAACATGAGGAGCAGGGGCTAAGAGGGTGGCCCAGTGGTAGAGTGCTTACATGAGGCCCTGGGTTCGATTCCTCAGTACCACATAAGCTGTGGCTCACTGGTAGAGCACTAGCCTTGAGCTGAAGAGCTGAGGGACAGCACCCAGGCCCAGAGTTCCGCTCCCATGACTGACCAAAAAAAACAAAACAAAACCCATGAGGAGCAGAGGTCCAGAACAGAGCCGGAACTTTTAAGTCACCCATACAATACAATGTGACATAAAGAGCTACCTATGACTAAAACTCTACTGCAGGACATTTTAATACTCCTGGAATGCAGTGACATAACTCTCTCATCACTGATTAACCTTCAGAGACTCGGCCTATTATAAGAAATGGTAAAACTAAACAAGCACAGCTAAAGAGGCCAACCTAGATAGCTTACAGCCACAAACTGGTACGGGAAGAGATGCTTGAAGGTTGCTTTTGCTGGGCCTACAAACGAACTCAAAGCAGGGGAAAGGTTGGCATTTCTGCCTCTATTTTATGTGTGTCTCTGCTCTAAGTCATTCTCTCTGAGATCTGAGGATTGGGCAGGAAAGCCTGTAAGACTCTTATCTCCAATTAACGATCAGAGAGCTGAAAGTCAAACTGTGGCTCAAATGGTAGAGCACTAGCCTTGAACACAGAAGTCCAGAGATAGTGCCCAGGTGATGAGTTCAAGCCCCAGAACCAGCATGAAAAGTTTTAAAAATTGACAAATAAACATTATAGCTAACACAAAAGAAGGAAAATCTAAGAGCTGTCTAAATGAGTCCAGAAAATCTACTGCAAAAGTTAACATCTGTCAAATTTTTAATTGGTAGGATCTTTCACCTACTTTCACAATGAAGATGAGTATATAGAATACAGCACTAAGAAAAGAAATTAGCATACAAATAACGGATGAGACAAGAATGTTTTCAAGTGATTTCATTTCATTTCTGTTAAAATGATATAGCTGGGCTAGGAAGGTGGCTCAGTGGTAGAGTGCTTGCCTTGCATGTATGAGGGCCTGGGTTCGATTCCTCAGCACCACATAAACAGAAAAAGCCAAAAATGGTACTGTGGCTCAAGTGATAAAGCACTAGCTTTGAGCTGAAGAGCTGAGGGACATCGCCAAGGCCCAGAGTTCAAGCCCCACAACCAACAAAAAGATTAAAAAAAAAAGAAAAAAAAAAGATATAGCTATATAAATGTATATTAGCTATACTTTGAAATTTTTAAGAAAAAATTCAATATTCCCAAGACAAAATGAAGATTTGGTAATGAGCCTTAAAAATATCTTTGTATAAAGAAGACATTCAGGAAGCTGAAAACATTGGATTAGGCCTATTAACTAAAAGTACACGATTTATTGCACAATCGGCATTTAATTAGTATCTAGAGGACCCAGTTAATTCATTCATGGAAATCTAAAATTGGACAAGGCAAACACTTCCTCTATTGCTACATTGCCAATTCCTAATTTGGGCTACTGAGCATAGTAGCACTGTTTGCAACTCTTTGCTTCTTTGGTACAGTCCTAGGGACTGACTCTAGGCCCAGGCCCAGTAGGCCACACTCCACCACATAAGCTATGCCTCTAGTCACCAACAGGATTTTTTTTGAGGGAATATAAGGCAAGGCACAAAAGAGAACACTGTAAGATGGGCATAAGAAACCTATCCAGTTGTCTAAAGAAAGTCAACACTGCTCACAGTCAAGACAAAAAAACCCTCTGTCCTGAAACAGCATGCAATGAAATTCCATTGAAAGAACACAGCAAGCCCCTGTGAAACAACACAACATGCATCTATCCCACTGGTAAAGTAACTAAGAAACTGAACTCACCATTTTTTAGGCTTTGATAGCGGTTTGTATTTGCTGTACTTGACACGCCATTCAAGAACTTCTTTACAGTGCTGACACACTCCGTCATGAAGTTTTGCGTTAATTTTCTAAAACAAATACAACATCAAATTGAGAATTGAACCCAGGAGCCAGAAGAGCAAACCTTATACCAAGGTATATGATAATTTTAAGATTTAAGCAAACAAACAATCAAAAACCCTGGCTTTAATCTGAATAAGGTTTTATGAGACATTATATATTTTATGAATATTATCCAATTTGGTTCTTTATAAAGACAATAGATCTTAACCACTTTAGCTCAGAACTAACTAGAAAGCTTTTTTAACCTCCTAGCACATTTGAGAAAGTCTTCATTGATCCTGATGTATATTATATCCAAATGGGTCAAAACTCAGTATACTGTTAAGATGCTTGTAATTTTATTGAATGGAAATTATGCCTCACTAAAAATGTAATAATAAGAAAACCTAGTTTTAAGGATAATTTTAAACCTAGTTTTAAGAATTTTTTTTTTTTGGGTATGTGTGTGGGGGGGGGGGGGGGAAGGGGGTAGTTCTAGAGCTTGAACCCAGTGCCTAGCTGCTATCCGCTATCCTTGAGCTTTTATGCTCAAAGATAATGTTCTACTAATTGAGCCACAGCTCTACTGTGAATCTCCAGAATTTTCCTGCCTGGGCTGACTTTGAGCTATAATCCTTAGATCTCAGCCTCCTGAGTAGCTAGGATTAACAAGTATGAGCCACTGGCATAGTTTCAACACTATTAGTCCAACAATTCTAACCTCTTCAGTGAATTAGAGAAACCCTAAGTTCTAAATTATCTGCTAGGAGACCACAAACTAAGGAGTTTTAAAAGTGTAGGGTAGGGGAGAAGTGAGTTAGAAGTCTTTTTATTATTCAGTTTAATCTTCCAGCTTTCTCATGAAAGGGAAACTGTTGTACAAAAGCTCCATCCACAAACTACTTAAAATAGACATATGCAAGCCACTAGTTTGGTGAAGAAAGGGCTTAATGAGGGAAGAAAATATATTTAATTGGAATTTTATTTTCAAAATGTGCTGGATTTTTAAAAAGCAATAGCAAAAGTTTAAATTACCACACAGTCTCTGTAATAGTATTATATTGTGTAGCATATTGATTGGATTCAGGATTAAATACAGACACACACTGAAAAATTCTATGATTTTTTTTTTTTTTTTTTAGCTAAGGATGGGTCATCTTTTTCCCGGTGTTGGAAACAATAAGTAGAAGGCATTTTAATATTTTTAAGACATTTAAATATTTTTCTTATCTTTTTTTCTCTCTCTTTGTTTCTATTATAAATTTTTCTAGGCGAGAAAAACATATCACAAAGATGCAGATTCACCGGAAGGCTATTTGATAGTGAGTTAAAAGCCTAATTTTAGACTACATCATTTGAGAAGTGCTTGGTATTCTTGAAAGCTCTCAATCAGAAGGTGAACGAATCTAATAAAATACTTATAAAAAAAACAATTCAAGGGCATTTTCAAAAAACATAATTTAAGCTGTGAACACATTAGAGTGTAGCTCAAATGTAAAATATCTTTTATTACCTATGAATTATGTATGGGTATTTTTGTTTCTGACCTGAAGAGTTCCTGGGAAAGTAAGTTTTGCACTCAGCAGATCTGCTTACTTCACTGTGGTTAACTATACCTCTGCCAGACAAAAAGGGAAATCTATGTGAATACACAAACTTGTCTTCCTTTCAACCTTGATACTCAGCCATCAAAAAGTGCTGGTTAAAGTGGTTGAACAAGTTTACACTCCCACCAACAATACAGTAAGGTTCCCTTCTGTCACATCCCCTCCAGCATCTATTGTTATTAGAGTTCTTGATTATAGCCATTCTAACTGGGGTGAGGTGGTATCTCAATGTTGTTTTGATTTGCATTTCTTTTATGGCTAGAGAGGTTGAGCATTTCTTTATATGTCTATTGGCCATCCTTCTTTCCTCTTCAGAGAAGTTTCTCTTTAAGTCTTTAGCCCACTTATTTATTGGGCAGTTGTTTCTTTGAGGATTTGTTGTTGGGGGATTTAATTTTTTGAGTTCCAGATATATTTTAGATAGGAGACTCTTCTCCATTGTATGGCTAGTGAAGATCTTCTCCCATCCGTGGGTTTTCTTTTTCTTTTTTTTTTTTGTCTTTTTGCTTTCTTGGTACTGGGGATCGAACCCAGGACGTTGCACTTGCTAGGCAAGCGCTTTGCCACTGAGCTACATCCTAGCCCTTCAATCCGTGGGCTTTCTATTGATCTTGCTAGCTATGTCCTTTGCCATGCAGAAGCTCTGCAATTTCATGCAATCCCATTTGTCCAACCTTTCTTTGATTTGTTGTGTTTCTGGTTCTCTATTAAGAAAATTTCAGCCTGTGCCAAGGAGACCTAGGGTTTCTCCTATTCCATCCTGTAATGTTTTCAAAGTGTCTGCTTTGACTTAGAGGTCTTTCATCCATTTGGAGTTGATTCTGGTGCAGGGTGATAGATAAGGATCTAGCTTTAGTTTTCTACAAGTGATTAACCAATTTTGCCAGCACCATTTACAGAAGAGGCTGTCTTTCTTCCATTTTTTTTTTTTAAGCTCCAACCACTTTGGAAAGTAGTATGGAGGGTCCTCAAAAGACTCCACATAGAGTCCCACTTTTGGGCATTTACCCAAATGATCACAAACAAGACCATACTAAAGCTACCATCACAACTATATTTATTGCAGCATTATTTACCATAGCTAAGATATGGAACCAACCCAGATGCCCCTCAGTAGATGAATGGATCAAGAAAATGTGGTACATATACACAATGAAGTCTATGCCTCCATCAGAAAGAATGACATTGCCCCATTTGTTAGGAAATGGAAAGACTTGGAAAAAATTCTATTAAGTGAAGTAAGCCAGGCCCAAAGAAGCATAGGTCCCATGGTTTCCCTAATTTGCAATAACTAGTGTATGTCTGAGACAAACAGAAAAGGTCAGATAAATTGATGTTAGGTGAAATGAACCCCAAGATAAGGATTCAAATGTTTTTTCTTTCTTGCAATTGTTTCTAATACATTAATAAGATAATTTCTTTGTTGCTTTGTATGTCCCTCCCCCATGGTATAAGCCCTGCTTTCATTTGTATTTGATGTTGGTATAATTTGTGGAGGGGAAGGGAAAAACAAATCATTTAAATAGGGATACAGGTGGACCCTTGCAACAATGAGATGTACAACTTTGGGGGAGGGGAAGGGAAGGCAAGAGAAGGGGAAACAAAGGAGGAAGCAACAACGCTTGATAAGAAATGTACTCATTATCTTGCCCATGTAATTGTAACCCCTCTGTACCGTATTTTCACAATAAAAAAAAAAGTGCGGGCTAAGAAACACAAGTACAGTGTGCTGTCCATCATTGATCTTGGTCCCTTGTGTTGTCTAGAAACTTTACTGAAAGCACCACTTACACTTTCTCAACAATACTAGGTCAATAAGTTTGAACTATAATTCCAAGATGAATGTGATATAAAGTTCTTAGAGGGAATATTCTTAGAATGCAGATCATTTCATTCCCTGAAATTTTATGACATATAACACACTCTGCTCATTAACTACCTGGTTAACTAGGAAGCGTTATTTGGTTTCTTGTTCGTTTCTGTATCCCACTTCTGACCAGTTCATCTTGATTTACAAAGCCTTGCATAGTTTAGAAACTGGTTTCTTTAGGGTGGATCACAGTAGAACAAAACAGGCCTTTGTGGGAACTTGTCTTGTGAGTGATGTGTGAGGCAGTATAAATGAGATGTTGTACGGAGTTCACGTGACCGGCTGGCACCACGACAAAATTAAACTGGATTTTCATGTGTTAAGAAATTAGTGAGGAACCGGGCTCTGGTGGCTCACACCTGTAATCCTAGCTACTCAGGAGGCTGAGATTGAGGATCATAGTTCAAAGCCAGCCCCGGCAGGAAAAACTGTGAGACTCTGGTCTCCAATAAACCACCAGAAAACCAGAAGTGGCGCTGTGGCTCAAGTGGTAGAGCACTAGCCTTGAGCTGAAGAGCTCATCTCCTTTTGGCAATTAATTTTCATATATATCTCATGACAGAAAATCATAGCTTATTAAGGACAAGATTTAAGTATGCCCAAATGTAAAAGCAAATTTAAGTATTATAAATCGAGGCCTATATATTATGTAGCTCAAACAAGCTACTTTCTAGGTTTTGGGGGGTTTTTTTGGGGGGGGGGGGAGGAGTCCGGTCATGAGGCCTGAACTCTGGGCCTGGGCGCTGTCCCTCAGCTCTTCAGCTCAAGGCTAGCACTCTACCACTTGAGCCACAGCGCCACTTCCGGCTTTTTTCTTTTTGCTTATGTGGTGCTGAGGAATCAAACCCAGGGCCTCATGCATGCAAGGCAAGCGCTCTACCACTGAGCCACCTTTCCAGCTCCTACTTTCTAGGTTTTTTAAAGAAAAAAAAAATTAGTTGACTAAACTTATGAATCATCTAAAAAAAAACCCATATTTTAAAATTAATTAATTAATTAGGTCTTCCACACACATAGGGAACTATCTTAAAAGACATACATAGAACTCTATGTAGGCCAGTCCAGCCTCAAACTTGCAATTATCTTTGCCTCAGTCTCAGAGTGCTTAGATTACAGGCCATGTACTACTTATTATGTCTGGCTTTAAAACTTTTTAAAAAATTAAATGAATACTTTTTTTTTAAGTTAAGAATAAACTGAAGCACATCAAAAGACACTAACGTCTCCAGAATGTCTCTACCATCATTAACTGTTCAACATACACATTTGCACTGCTATTCTATTTCACAAAGCACATCGCTGGTGATACAGCAATCCCAAACAGAAGGTGAGTGAGGATTTCAACTCCTGGGAAGGCAGCAAGAGCAAATTGTAAATGTAACACATATATCAGCATGCTGATACTCAAAAACATTTCACAAGATTAATAGTATCATTTAAGACAGGGAAGATACAATGTAAGAGACAAGGGATTCGTAGACTATTCAAAAGCCAAGTAAAAATTTTTTTTCTTTAGGACTTCTTGTACCTTGTAAAACACTATAAATGG